CTCTCTCATACACGCTCGTACTCAAAAGTACACACACACACACACACACACACACACACACACACACACACGCACACATTAACACAAACTCACCAACGCACAAGCACTCACTCACGGCGCAGGCTTATGCACACACTCACTCCCACACACACACAAACACACACCCAAAAACGCATAGCACTCTCTCACCTATGCCCTCTCTCACCCCTCACTAGCCCAGACAGACCTATAATTGTGAACACAAAACATGTTCCGATAATGTTACTTTTTATGATTATATGGTGTTGTCTCTTACCCCATTAACGCTATCCGTACGTCGTGTTTTACTATCGTATCCATACGACGTCGGGAACTCTACCGCACCCCTTTCCAAAGAGGAAATTTACTCGTTAATCCGATCCGTACACTTTGCATAGCAGTCTGTCAAAATGATTTTTTGAGAAATACTGAAATTTTCAAAGAGATCTTTGCACTAGACGTATTCTAAAATGTGAAGAATACAACCCCGGGGATGCAAAATGACCCCAGGGCGTACGGATAGGGTTAAAGGGTTTGTTTTTGGTGTTGTCGCAGCTGTCTTTTTGTTTTGAGTTTTCTAACAGAGAGGAGTGGGTGGTTGGCGGGTGCTATGGTGTGGTTTGCTTTTTCTTTCCTATTAAAAACAAAACTATCGACCTTCTCTCTCCTCCTCCTTTTTGTGTTTGTTACTCTCTTAATTTATTGTAACAACTCTAATCTTCCGCACTTCTTTGACCTTATTGTTTTTGCAAGGGCTGTAAAACTCGTACAAAAACTAAATCTCCTCCTTTTTTGGCCTGTAAGCTACTCTCTAGCAACACCTCTTGTCTTCAGTACCTATATTACCTAATTATGTTGCAGGTGCATTAAAACTCTTTTTTTTAAAAACCAGCCCCCCCCCCCCTCCCCACACACACACATCATTGAATGCCTTGTTTGCCCCACTATAATGTCCGTTTTTTCTGTCTCCCCACCAGGAAAGGAGATGGCTATGAGACCGCGAGGGTACGGCTTTTCTTCCGAGATAAGCCGAAAGGTGAGCTCATACCTGGCTGCCTCAGAATTGGTCGCTTTTAAGCACAAGGAGGCTATCCCGAAAAATGCTGTTTTGAGAAAATCGAAGTTAAAGTTTTTGTCCCTTGTTCAGTTTTTTGAAAAGACGAGGAGAGTTTTATATATATAACAAGGAGAGTTTTCTCTATATAACAAGGAGAGTTTTTTCTATATAACAAGGAGAGTTTTCTCTATAAAACAAGGAGAGTTTTCTCTATATAACAAGGAGAGTTTTCTCTATAAAACAAGGAGAGTTTTCTCTATAAAACAAGGAGAGTTTTCTCTATAAAACAAGGAGAGTTTTCTCTATAAAACAAGGAGAGTTTTCTCTATAAAACAAGGAGAGTTTTCTCTATAAAACAAGGAGAGTTTTCTCTATAAAACAAGGAGAGTTTTCTCTATAAAACAAGGAGAGTTTTCTCTATAAAACAAGGAGAGTTTTCTCTATAAAACAAGGAGAGTTTTCTCTATATAACAAGGAGAGTTTTCTCTATAAAACAAGGAGAGTTTTCTCTATAAAACAAGGAGAGTTTTCTCTATATAACAAGGAGAGTTTTCTCTATAAAACAAGGAGAGTTTTCTCTATAAAACAAGGAGAGTTTTCTCTATAAAACAAGGAGAGTTTTCTCTATAAAACAAGGAGAGTTTTCTCTATATAACAAGGAGAGTTTTCTCTATAAAACAAGGAGAGTTTTCTCTATAAAACAAGGAGAGTTTTCTCTATAAAACAAGGAGAGTTTTCTCGATAAAGCAAGGAGAGTTTTCTCGATAAAACAAGGAGAGTTTTCTAAATAGCAAGAGAAATATACACACCAATGAAACCAGTGGGTGGTTGGCGGGTGCTTTGGTGTGGTTTGCTCCTTCTTTCCTATCAAACATATATCGTCCTTATCTCCCCTTCTTCTTTTTTATGTTTGTTACTCTCTTGTAACACCTCTAATCTTCTGGCGCTCATATGACCTTTTACAGTTGCGAGCACCGTAAAACCTTTACTTAAACTAAAAACTAAAAGACCGAAGAGACAGAATGCACAAAATGCGTTCGTGTGTTTCTGCGTGTATTTCTGTGTGTGTTCGTGCGTATGTTCTTGCGTGTGTTCGTGCGTGCATGCATGTGCGTGCATGCGTGTGTTGAACTTGTCAGGCCCGCTGAATAGTCCGTGCCGATCAGACTTGATACGACTTTACAACGGTTTACGAGTTCCGCTCGTTTCTGTTCATTTTTCTTCCCGAAAAAGATGATCGAGCTGATTACGTAGGCTATAAAGTGGCGAACAATATAAATGTATTATTCCGTGGTCGACCAAGGTTGGTTTGGTTTGCCCGCTTTGATTTATGGCTGCTCGTTAATCCAAAAACGCTGCAAGGCGTGCAGTGGGGCAATTAAGATTGTCAGGTCGACGGGGCAGAGTAATATCGCTGTTGTCGTAAGTAAGGCTGGCTTGAAACAAACCTACCTCACCTGAGTGATTGTGCCCGCTGCTCTTTCTCAAACTCAGGGACGTTTGTGGCTCAACTTCGTTCTTCCTCCTCGCGAGCTTTTTTTGTGTTTTTTTTGTTTTTGTAATCACCGTTACTTTGTCGTATCCTTTGTCGTTCACATTCCATGCCTTTCCCCCACAGCATGTTACATTTTTAAAGCGTGTCTTCTTTTGTTTTCTTCTTCTTCTTCTTCTTCTTCTTCTTCTTCTTCTTCTTCTTCTTCTTCTTCTTCTTCTTCTTCTTCTTCTTCTTCTTCTTCTTCTTCTTCTTCTTCTTCTTCTTCTTCTTCTTCTTCTTCTTCTTCTTCTTCTTCTTTTTCTTCTTCTTCTTCTTTTTCTTCTTCTTCTTCTTCTTCTTCTTCTTCTTCTTCTTCTTCTTCTTCTTCTT